TATCTTGCACAGTGTCTATACCATTTTGCATTCCTGCCAGTCTGTGTCAGAGTGTCTACGCATCCTCTTCAGCAATTGCTCAAACAGATCATGTCAACTGTCTGGTTTAGCATTGTGTAGAAGTGAGGATCTATACAGTGGATTCACTGAAAGCTCTACTCAGTTGGCTCTGCTCCATTCCATTTCACTATTTCTCTCTAGGGTGGGATGGAATGGACATTAGTGAACATTGTTACTAGAGATAAAGCACATTCTATAATTGCAAGATGCTTAATCCATCAAGATGGTATAACAACTACATAAATATATTCAGCCATCAATAGATCCATCTCTACCATCTGGACTTTGCAAGGTTCTAGCATTGTGGTTTGTTATCTACATGATCTTGGGAAAGTTGGAAAATTCTAATGTTTTTTTCCTCAGTGTAATGGAGTTAATTTCTGTTGCTGAGGCTGCCTGGAGATTAAATAACATGAAGCAAATAGTAAGCACTGATATGTGAGCTAGGTTGTACCTCTTGAGATAGCAGTTTCTTTTCCCTTTCTATCTGTAAGTTTTTCTTTTTCTCTGAACTCCGCTTCTTTCCTTCTTTAGGAGGCAGGAGCACAAGCAAGCAGAGTTAAAAAGTTGTGTGCAATAGTCTTCATCTCAGCCCATCAGATGCCTTTACTCTTCCCTTCCTTCCCTTGTCAGTCAACATGGATTTAGTAAGGGCTGAGGGTGGAGCACTGTAAGTGGAGATGAATATTTATTTAATTCCACCTTGCAGTTATCCAAGCTTGTCAGTCCAGTTCACAGGTGGAAACCCATTCCCATCTGAAGCAAGAACTACTTTAGTGTTAATCCGCTGTTAATGAATTTGTTAAATTAGTGTTTGCTGACACACAGAAGAAAGTGCCTCCTTCTTCATAAGAGGCTTGCTGTTTAATCTACACATAACCCCAGGGGCACTGGAAGAAAGTGTTCTCTCACTGCAGCAGGGACCATCAGGTTAGACGAGCATTTTCCCTCTTGTGCTGGTTTAGAGCATGGAACTCTGAGAAAAGCAAGGTTCATTGTCTCCTCAAATTTTAAAGGTACAGACCCATGTTCTTTACTGTCTAGGATTTCCTTTACCACTCGTGTTTGGAAAAAAAACCAAACATTTCACAGTTGTTCTCTTAATAGACTAGACTATTATATTTTTAATTGTTAATGATAAGCTTTGTGTCAAAAGGTATTTTTAATGGCTTTGTAAGAACATGTGCAATGTGGTGCTGAAGAGGTGGCTCCGTGGATGACACATTCTCTACAAAACCATCAAGACCTGAGTTCAGATCCCAGAACCATGTGAAAGTGTGGTCTCCCCAGGGCAAGCTAACTACTGATTTCAGATCCCCAGAACCATGTGAAAGTGTGGTCTCCCCAGGGCAAGCTAACTACTGATTTCAGATCCCCAGAACCATGTGAAAGTGTGGGATCCCCAGGGCAAGCTAACTACTGAGTTCAGATCCCCAGAACCATGTGAAAGTGTGGGATCCCCAGGGCAAACTAATTAGCTAGACATGCTCAGAATTCAGCAAGAGATTATGCCTCAATAAACAGTGGGGAGAGTTGTCATAAAAGACACCTGATGCCAGCTTTATGCTTCTATACACACATGCATGCATATGTATAAGTGTGCATACACCACACACAGCTGCATCAAAACATACAAGAACACTCAGGCACAAGCACAAAGAAAGAATACATGAAATGTTAGCCTTCTGAATTACAAAGGGGTACAGGAATGAAAATCATGGGTACGACCATTCAGGGTGAAGCAATGTTGAGACAGACAGTACTCACTGTAATTACCCACAGAGTTACCTGTAATCAGGCTACCCATTTGTTTCGTTTTCTTTTGTTTTTGTTTTGTTTTCTTTTGTTTTTTGTAACCTACTGCTCAGTGTGATAAAAAATAAAATGATTTCTCAAGGGAGCCTAAAGAAATTTGGTATCAAATCTTCCAAGGAGCTCATGTGAACCTGACCCTGCGTGCTCTAAGAGGACCCTCACATCAGCTTCCAGAAGAACAGGGATGAACGTCATGAGACTGCTTCCTATAGCAACTGTTAATAGCCGCTGATGTATCACAGCACACATTGCTCATAAAAGTTCTCTGAGGGCGAGGTCTGGTCCAGTGCTGTGATTCATAGCCCCCGATTCTCTTGTGTTCTGATTTGGTCATGACTGCCATTTTTCCCCCTCAGAGGAGCCTCCTCAGCTATTTGGGATTAGTAGATGTGCTCCCATGGGCAAAGCTTTCGTTTTTCATCCAAGCCCCCACCAGTATTGACATTTCAGGAGAATGCAGGGTCTGAGGCTGAACTGACTTCTTTTGAAAACTGAATAGCCAAAGGATTCTCTGGCCATTGAGCTTGCGACGAAGTGAAGATGTTTCCTAATGAAAAACTCAGCCTAGCATTGTAAAAACATTTGAATGTGTTTTAATATCCATACAGAATGTGACATAAACCCCAAAATCCTACTATACATTATAGTCACAATAAATTTATCCTGGATACCTAGCTGGTGGGAAAGCTTAGAGTACTTAGAACAGTTTGTTCAGCTTTGAGAGTCTAACTTCTTGATTGATGTTTGGTAAAGTATTTGCCAAATATATACTAAGAAAAATAAATGAAAGAGTTTGTGGAGTGAGAATATTTATAAGGCAGTTACAAATGGCAGGATAGCTTACTGGAGGTAACACATGTGTGCACAATAGGTGACTCACAGCCATTTCTTTTCTTGTAGAAATAAGAGGTATTAATGTATAATATATTAATGTATATTGTTTGTATTAATATATAATAGATAATAATAATAACTTCCTTGTTAGTCATTGCAAAACTATAGTACCTGAAGCACTCCCCTGGTCACCCATAAGTTTTAATAATAGTAAACTATGTGCCTCAAATACAGCAGAGTCACATGTACAAAAGAGCATCAAGTTCTTAATAAACAGGCTAAGAAAAAGTAAAACTAGAAAATACTTTCTTATGCTTCACAGAAAAATAAATTTACTAAGTTGTTTTCTGCTGCCTGACTCTTGCAGAATTGTGGACTGGATTTGAGTTAACACTAGTGTTTTTGCTAAGAAAATTAGTATATGGACTTGGATATGTTGGTACCAGACTATTGGTGGTGGGGAGCAATTACCAAATAGTTTTTATTTGTGTGTGTGTGTGTGTGTGTGTGTGTGTGTGTGTGTGTGTCAAGGCCATAGGTGTTGGATCCTCTGGGGTTACACATATATGGGTATGCAGAAGCCAGAGAAAGACACTAGATGGTTCTACCATTCTACGCTCTATTACCTTGAGACAAGGTCTCTCTCTCACTGAACCAGAAGCCCAGCTTCCCAGCGAGGCCAGCCAGCCATGGAGCTTTTAGGTTCCCCCTGTTCCCAGCCCCAAATCTGTAGTTTCAGGCTCATGTAGCCATACCCTATTAGATAGCTATTAAATGGAGATTTTTGTTTTCAAAGGGTAGAAGCTGCTGTGTGTGCCGTGACATCCTGTTAATAACTCTGATTAGAAGCCCAGTGCTATATGCTTGCTAACTCTGGCCTATGGGTGTCCTGTGATGCTGGCTGACAGTGGTGAGATGGAAGGCAGTCTCAGTTGACTAGAGCAATACATTGGGAAGTAGAAGCATCAGCCCCTAACTTTGGCTCAGTCAGTAATTGTATGATGTTTGACATATCTTTTGAATACTCTTTGGCCTTACCACTCCATCTGTTGAACTAAGTTCATAATAATTGCCCTGGTCTATCTCACAAGAATGTTGTATGAACAAATTGGATAAGTGTAAAAGTGCCTTGGAGGTAAAGCCATTCCATGAATAAAAATTAGTGTGATGTAGTCCCGAAAAGTGTGTTACAGAGGCTAGTCTGCTTCATCTCCGAAGGCTTCTAACTAGATAAGGCTTCCTAATGGGTTCCGGTTCAGTGAACCAAGCACATCCTATCAGTTCATGATTATAGTATTTAGGGGGAAAGATCTCTATACAAACATTTGTTACCTTGATAAAAATACACATTAAAATCAAAAATCAGTCTTAACTGGCCATGGTATCGTTCATTTCTATAATCCTGAAAACTTGGTAAGTTGAGGCAGGAGGATCATGAATTTGAAGCTACCTATTCAGTTTCAGGCCAGCTTAGGCTACAAAGTAAGAGCTCATCCTTCCCCTATCTCCAAGTCTGTCATATTTAGAGAAGAGGAAGGAGAGATTGGTAAATGTTGAACATAAAACTTCAATTATGCAAGATGAATGATTTCTGGAGATTACCGTAGAACATCAGCCTATGTTTGGTAGCATTGTCGTGCATAGTTAAATACATTTTGAGAATAGCTCTCATGTTAAATGTTCTTAATGTGATACAATTTAAATTAGCCATATTGGAATGAAATAAAAGCCTTCCAACTAGCTTCAAATAACTGATAGTGTACAGCTCAGTTTCTGTGGTTAATTTAGAAGCTGAATTAAAAACATTTAATGAAGTTGAGAAATAAGCATATGGCATCATACGTAGGGAAGAAAGAGTGACACTTCTCAGGAAATCACTATTCTTATGGATCTGACATTGCCAAATTGAGATTTTTTTTTTCAACTATGCTCCTGTCTTAAAACACGTGCTATTCTGATGTTTTTTCTCCATCACAGTTAGCATCTCATTCTCAGTCATGACTCATGTACACAGAATGACTCACTGTAACTCAGTCAAGCGTGCCCCAAATCCGAGGCACCTGGGGAAGAGGAGAAGGTGGCTTCTGGAAGGATCCCGCAAGCGCTCTTGTTCCTCGTCCCCTTTCTCTTCACACACATTGCCTGTGCAGGTTGGCAGTACCACCATGCCCAGTCCTGAAGAAGGAATTCAAGCAGACAGTTAACTAGACAACATATGTAAGAAGAGGTTCTCTGCAGGCCAACACAGAAGCTTTCATCTTTGAGTCAAGTTGGTCTCTTTCCTTTGGCAGAGGACCTTTCCTCGTGGCTCTGGGGAAGTCTTGGCACCCAGAAGAATTTAACTGTGCTCACTGCAAAAACACGATGGCCTACATTGGATTTGTTGAGGAGAAGGGAGCACTGTATTGCGAGCTATGTTACGAGAAGTTCTTTGCTCCTGAATGTGGCCGCTGCCAGAGGAAGATCCTTGGAGTGAGTGTTTGAAACTACTTCTTCATCTTTAGTGTATCCTAAAGCTACGTAGATTTTTGTAATAGATCTTTTCACTATTTTTACTTTTTATTTTCTTCTTGCTTGATCAATCCTCTCTGCTTTCATTAGTTGTGTTTATTATAAAACAAAACTAAACAGACCTCTAAGGAAGTATATCAGACTCGTGGGGTTAGTGGTCTTTGGTTTTCTCTTACCGAACGCTGGCTTGTCTGGTGAAAGACTAGCCACTCTGGGAAAAATAATTTACTGTGGGTGTGCTACCTCAGCAGGACCCAGTTTGCTCAGGAATGAAGAGGTCGTTCAGGACCACACACATGAGCTTTCAGGACTGACACCTTCGCTGGTTTAAATTAAATTCCATAGTTTTTATAAGAGCAGCCTTTCCCTGCTAGTCAGAGTTCAAGCACAGGACACTGATCTCGTGAAATATACACAATTTCTAAAATGTGAAGCTTATAATATTTTTTATTTGATTGAATATAATGTTTAAAACTGTGACTTCAGTTATAGAAGTGTACATGTGATAGGACAAACATTTCAAGCTGTGCTTTTTCTGGCAAAAGAAAGTAATAAATAATGATGAATAGATGTGCATCATGTTAAATAACATCCAATTTTCAATGACATTGAAGAGTCGGGCATCTACTGTAGGTGACCAGTAGTGGGGGGAATTTGATTTTAGAAGAAACCAGTGTTCTTGGCTTTAGCTTATACAACTTAGAATGGCTTTGCTGAATTCTACCTACTACTCTCAATCTGTAAATACAGTAATGAAACTCTAGAAAAATGTGACTTATGGAGAACATGCTTAGTATGTCTGAAACTCTAAAAGAGTTAACAGTTATACATATACCACCTGACCAGTTTCTATGCTGGTAATTTGTTCAGTGTGTTGGTAATAGAGGAATGTAATGCTAGCCTATCCCTTCCTAAGTGCTGACAGATAATCAGTAAACTAGATTTAGTGAATAAACATATTCTGTGGATTAGAGAATAATTAATAAAAGTCAAGAATGGTAAAAACCACAAGACTCTAGGAAGTGAAAGAAAGAATTCCCATGTTATTAAATATTCTTCAGAAATTAGTTTTCAATTGCTTTACCTCTTCTCAGTGGAATCCTTGGGACAGTTCTTAAAAAACTAACAACTCCAAACCTCTCACTGATTAGAATCTCTTCCTAGTCTTGTGTCTTGGAGTAACCAGGAGGCTGTGTGGACTAGGATCCTTGCTTTTATGCTTCACACTTTACTCAATGGAGTAAGTGCATAGTGCAGTCACAGCTGATTCCAAACAGCTAAACACTCAATGAGCTGATTGGATTATACTGATTACATTATTGCTTCCATAATGCACTGGAGTTTAGGTTTGTTTTAGTTTTTAAATGCTTTCCCCTCCTTCATGACATTTTCAAGATAATGCCATGAAAGTTTTTTAGGTTAATGCATCCTGGCACTGTTTGAAAGAAAGCAGAATGTGTTGTAACAAGCATTTGTGTAATCCTTCCCTTATTCACTGCATGTATAGGGTTAGTAATAGTGATTATTCTTTGTTTACACATACATATTACAATAGTTTTCAGTGATACGTGAATCAGCCAGTATGTATCTCTTGTTTCTTTGATGAAAAGTTCAAGATAAAGATGAAATACGTATGTCTACGTTGAGTTGGTGTGGTACAACCGTAAGAGTAGGTGTTGGTGTTTGTTGTCCTCCTTCTTTAAATCCATCCACCTTTCTATAACAGGAAGTCATCAATGCCTTGAAACAAACCTGGCACGTGTCCTGTTTTGTGTGTGTGGCCTGTGGAAAACCCATTCGCAACAATGTTTTCCACTTGGAAGATGGAGAGCCATACTGTGAGACTGGTGAGATGATAAGCCATTAGTGCCTTAGTTAAGAATGAAGCTAAAACACTTCTGTTTCTGTAAAATTGAAAGAAAAGTTTAGGCCAACAAGGTTTCCTTATTATTTTAGAGATGTTACCTATTACTCTGGATATACAGCAAAACAAAAAGAATAGTCGCTGTCCATGACTTTGTCAAAACAACATTTCCAACTTCATTATGAACATTAACAAGGTTAGCATTACTTAGTAGGAAAAATATTTTCAGATCTCCAGTCATTTATAGATGCCAATTCTACCCGAAATATAGCTTAAAGCCACTTATTGTAGTAATGATACTAAGTGGTTATAAACATGAGAAATGTTTAACATTCTAATGTTAATGTTTTGCTTTTTAAAGCAAACTTTGAAACTTTGAAAATAAATGTGAACTTCTTTGCTGCCTTTACTGAACAGGAAAGTAATCTTGGCGAGGTTGCTCCCCGGTCGAGATGTTTTTAATAATTTAGGTTCTAAGAGCCTCTCTCCTCCCTTTGCTTTGTTACCTGAACCCCCAACACCCCAGTTCCTCTGCCACATCTGCAAGTGAGCTTTCTTACCATTTACTCTTTATTCAGATATTGTTCCCACAATGCATATTTCAAAATGTGAGACCTGCTTTCCTTTATTCAGTTAACAGTAGTTAACTGAATTCCCACTATTGGGTTTTAATCTTATATTAGATTGAAATTCAAAATGTGGTCCTAGCAGGGGTTTTTGCACAGTGGTAAAGTTCAAGAAACCATCAGCTTTTGTCTGAAGCTGGTTCAGCATCACTTACCTCTTTGCTCACTCGGTACTCTGACTTTCACCTTTCCCTTAACCCCTTAGTTAGGAAGGGTTTGGCTCTGTTCCAGATTGCTCACCAGGAAGCCCCAGAGCCTCCAATAAAATACTCCATGTGTTGTTAACAGTATAAGTTGGTGTAAGCTTCCTACCGTCTTCAGAGTATCTCATGTTCTACAGCTTATTTTTTCTGAAGAGAGACTTGGTTTTGTTTAGTTGACTGGCTCGTTTGTGAGTTTTAGAAAGTTTTGTAAGACATTCTGACTAACTGTACAAAAACATAAACATCTATCTAACCTGTGATGTTTAATGTATTCTAAGAAGTCATGATAAACTAATGCATTGCTAGTCGAGGGGAATCATGGTCTATAAGTTTTATTCTTTTCCCTTCACCTTCAACCAGTTCTTAGCAATGTTCCCTTCTCAGTAGATGGCTGCACTGTCCACTGTCCAAACATCTAGGATTCCTCTCTTTCTCTGTTCTTCCAGAAACAGAACCTAACAAGTAATTCCAGGCAGTTCCATATCCAGTGGATATTAGATAAGCATCTCCTTCCATCTCCAGTGTCGCCACTATGACCAGCCTGCTCTCAGTCTTCGCCTGGACTTCTCAATAGCAGCTGTAGAGAAATTGGTGCCATGTCAACAATGGCAATCAGATTGTGCTTGTGTCCTGTAAATGGCATCTCCTAGAATGAGCACCATCCTCCTGTTGCTTTGCCAGATTTCTCTCCTGCCTCTTTACATTCTGACACCAGATTTAACCCATATCGTATTCCTTTATTGTTTCTGAACATGGCTAAGATTTTATGTCTGGCTCCAGGGTCTTCATACTTACCAGTGTCTTCTAACTGAAATATTTTCAGTGGGGTTCCTCCTTGTTCGAGTCTCCTCATGACTATTATGTACCGGGGAAGGTTCTCTTCACCCTCCTAGAATGTAGTGTATGTCCCTTAACTACTCTATATCACAGCACTGGTTGTTGCTTCATTGTACCTATCACAGTCTTAGCCAAAGCCTCCTAAGACGAGCATCCAACCGGTCCTTTTTGCCTCTCTGCCTATGGTGCTTGGAGCACTGCTTGGTAGAGTCTGTGGAGGTATATTCAACACATGGTGCTAGAGAATATTTGCATCAAGCTGTATATTATAGAATCCCTCCCCTCCGACATCAGCTGGATTGACATTATTAAAGACTAAAAGTTGGCTCATAGGTCAACACAGCAGTGATGAAGTTCAATAAAAGAGAATAAAAATGTGACAGCACTCTTATTTAATAATAGAGAAAGCACAAGGCCCCTTTCATCTGAAGGGAATCCTGTTAGTATTTTAGAGCTAATCTGTCAAGTTATTCATATTATTTGCCTAAAGATTTCCAGTATGGAGTCATAAAATTGGAAGGAATATATAACAAAAGAAAGTGTGGCTGGTTTTATTGGCATAGTTCAGCTGGGAACTCAGTCACAGTCCTTATTTGTGAAAAAATGTCCTGGAAAAATGCTAACCGGCAAGATTTGCCAAATTTGTTCTCACTTTATATTATCTCACTGTTGCAAATGATTGAGAGTCCTCTTACTGTTTCTCGACACATCCAAGCGTACTGAAAACTTCACAGAACAGTGATCTCCTGTTCATGCATCTGGGCATTTAAACAGAGAGACATGGAACACAGGAAATAAAGAAAAAGTTTCATAATGTTTGCCATGCTGCACATACATCCCAAGCTAAGTAGTGGTTCCATCGAGTCCAGTGAGGAGATCCCAACCAAGCTGCCCTGTCCCCAGTGGATACTGTGTTCCTCACTTCCACCTCAGTCTTAACCTTTGTGTCTCGCTTAACTCCCATCTTACCACTGTTTTCTGTGACCTGCCATCTTTAAATTACGTCTCTCTCCTAACCTGATGCAGATTATTATGCCCTTTTTGGAACAATATGCCGTGGATGCGAATTCCCCATTGAAGCTGGAGACATGTTCCTTGAAGCTCTGGGTTATACCTGGCATGATACTTGCTTTGTGTGCTCGGTAAGTAAGCTGTCCTGTCCTGCTCAAAGCTCAGTGCTCGATGGAAGGAACAGCACTCTGGTCTTTCCCTTCCTCAAAGCTAACAGACACTGGGTTTTGATGTTCTTACAAGTTGGATTTGACATTATTTGGCATCTAATAAGATCTTACCCCAGAGAAAGTATGACTTTTAATGCATTCTTATCTCTAAGGAGAGGATTAGTGCCTTTTTATAAATGAGTTCTTTTCTTAAATTCCTTTATTAAACACTTTAATATTGGAACATTGGGTATTTCTTAAATAGAAAACAAATTATAAACAACTAGGGAACCAGCAAGATGGCTCAGTTTTCTTCCTGACTGATAGATGGCTCATGAATTTTCTTTTCTTTTTGAAACATTTTACCTATTTCACTTGCTACTTTAATGCTCTTGGTTTTGATTTATTTATTTTTGGTGTTTGTATGTATTTGTGTGTGTTCATGTGTTTATGTACTTGTGGAGACTGAAGGACAACCTCAAGTATCACCCTCAGAACACTGGCCCCTCCTTTGAGACAAGGTCTCTCGTGGGCCTGGAACCCACCATTGGGCTAGATGGGCTGGCCAGAGCACCCAGGGACACTCTTCTCTTCACCTTCCCAGCCTTGGGATTATAAGCATGCATGTGCCACAACGCCTAGCATTGTACATGGTTTCTGGGGATCCAACTCAAGTGCTTTATTGACTGAGCTATCCCCAACAGCTCACTACGGGGACTTGGTCTCACTATGTAGCTCTGGCTGACCTGGAACTTACTATGTAGATGAGATTGCCCTTGAACTCATAAAGACCCACCTGCCTCTGCCTTCTGAGTTCTAGGACTAAAGGTGTGCATCACTATACCTAGCCTTCTTTTTACTTTTAGTGATTAAGATAGACCAAAAGGTTAACATTAACCTAAGGTAATTTTTATAATTTAGAAAGCTCATATTCAGTAAAGATGCCTCATTTCAGTGTTTGATCTCTGTTAATGTTGTTAGAGTTAATATATCTAACAGTGTTTGATACCCATTGTACAAGAGAAGAAATAGTGGTGAAATCAAATGATTTCTCCAAATATTACCTTTGAGCACTTCTTGTTTTTACTTCATTTATCTTTTAGACTTCATAAAGTTTATAAAAAGCAGCTTTTACATATTTACCTTCTCAGGAAAACCTTCTCATGAGCATTGCCATTTGCAAGACCTCAGAAACAATGTGAAGGCAAAAGTGTGGGTGGCCTGACCACAAAACCACTCAGCAGACAGATACTGCCCAAGATGTTCACTGTCGAATCAAGTTCAGTCAGTTCTTTCATGAATGGTTTCATCCAGGAAGTAAATTAAAATCAGCCTATTGAGAGTGGAGAGAAGGCTCAGTGATTAAAAACGCTCGCTGCTCTTGCAGAAGACCCGAGTTTGGTTCCCAACACTCACATCAGACAGCTCACAACCAGGGTTCTCAGTGTACCTGGCCTCCCGAGGCACCTGTACTCACTTGTCCATACCATACTCAGACTAATATACCTTATAAAAAATAATCATCTATGGCCAGTATATAATAGGACAGACTGACATCGGGTTTGGTCATGCTTGGCAAAGCAATTGGACTGTTTCTTTTTTAATACTTTAATTTTTTTATAAGAGGAAATAGATTCTTTTGATTAGAATTTGTATTCTTGATGTGACTTTTTGATATATTGAAGTTTTCGTTAGGACTATGTGCTTCCTCTCGGTAAAGAAAAGCAATCATCGGTGATTTAAATAAATCAGACAATGTTCCAGAAAAATAATCACTCTTTGCTTTTCCAAGATGACATGAAATGTCATAGTAATCATGAAATGTCAGGGTGTCTCACATAACTGTCTTAAGCGCTTGTAATGTTACTCATTGGGGACAGTCACTTACTTTGGGAGATCTGATTTAAATAATGATATTCTTTTAAGTAATGCTTCTTTTTTGCAGGTGTGTTGTGAAAGTTTGGAAGGGCAGACATTTTTCTCCAAGAAGGACAAGCCACTTTGCAAAAAACATGCTCATTCTGTGAATTTTTGAAGATCAACAGTTCCAGGAAGAGAAGAAATCTGAAGAAAAAGGAGGAAAATTTAAATTACCATTTAATTTTTAGTTTTAATATTTATATGAAGTTCTAAAATAGTAGTAGCCCTGAATGGATAAATGCCAACATTAAAAACCAAGTCTGTGACAAAATGTTTGGCTTCAGAAAGTCACAGACAGTTTGGGATTTATTATGACTAGCCTGTATTTTCTGCCCATGAAGTAGTCTTTATAAAAATCAATTTCCTGACTATTAAATTCATCTTAGAATAAATTAGTAAAGGATTACACTTTAGAATTAAAAACTCTAGCCTCTATGCTGAAGTGATACTTTCCTTGTTGGGTAGCTATGAGAATTCACAGAAGGCAATAAAAGTGCCTTAAACTTTATTCATAAGAATAGTTGTTTAAGAAACCTACTTTATCTTTAAAATAGTAAGTAAGAGTTTAAATAAATTTGTGAGTAGGTGGTGTCTTTTCCTTTTTAGTGTGTGTACATGCTTTGGTTCTATCATTGGTTCTTTCAGTAAGACAGTCCAGGGAAGTTTTGAACAAAGTGTGACATGCTGTAAGAGACACTGTGATCTCTTATGTTCTTCCAAAGGCTGCCATTGTCGCTTAAAGGTTGCAGATGCTGGCGTCCCTCCAGCCGGGCAGTTTGTTTGCGTTGTGTGTGGCTCACTACCTGGGCTAGGCTGCCGTGCTTCTTAGGCTGAGGTGAAGATAATTCAGTAGTGTTCAACTCCAGTAGTTGTCTTTCTCTCTCTCTCTTTTTTAAGAGAATAGGTAGAAGATAAAGGGTCTAGAAATTGGGAAAATGAAGCAGTTGTACCTGGAAAGTAGAAAGAGCCTCTACCCCCTTTCAGATAACGAACTGATTACAGGTGTGTCACTGACTGGACACAGAAACTACACCTTGCCCAGGAATGTTTGTGGATTGAGGATTATGATAAGATCCGAGTTTGTGTTGTTACTGTGTTTTTTCTTATTTGGTGTTGTTCTGGGATTTTGTTTGTTTGATGTTTTTTTGTCTAGGATTCTTTTCTATCAGTAAGAAGTAAATCCCCTCCAATTGTGTGATCATGGAGTTAGGCAACTCTTACTCACTGGCATTTGGTAGTGCAGGGGGTACTGTGATCAGTGACTCACATGGTCCTGGCATTTGGTAGTGCAGGGGGGACTGTAATCCATTACTCACATGGTCCTGTCATTTGTTCTCTATGATTGGGCCGAGCATTGTTTAGGTACCACTTGTAGTCAGGAAAGTGACCATGAGAAAGCCATGCAGTGTGGCTCACTGCCCAGTGAGAAAACAAATTATGCCATTTAATATTTTTTTCTCTTTGTTTCTACAATGAATGAAAGCCCATGACCCTGCTGAGTTATAGCTAAATCTGTTGAGAGCATGGTACTTTCAAAATTCAGACAGTGTCCCCTGGTTCTTGCTATCCCATCCTTCAAGAGCACCTGTGCATCCATTTGTGTGTGTGTGTGTGTGTGTGTGTGTGTGTGTGTGTGTGTGTGTGTGTATTTTATAGAGGAGATCTTAGGCTACAGTATTTGTTTAACCTCCCTAAGAACTTTCAAGGTATCTGTCCTGAAAGCTGCTAACTTATGGTCTAGTAAATTTATAGTATATGCAGATAATAATGAACTGGGGGATAGATGAGCAGGAAGGGTGACACACATCACAAACCAGAAGCGTCTCCAGTAGCAGCCCAGGCTACCTCCTCACCTATGCTTGGAGGGAGGCAGGAAATGTCTTCAGAAGTCAATGCTGCAACTTCATGCATTAGATCTCATGGCTGCTGCAGTGACCAATAACAGACTCACTGGCTGGGGTGCATTATTTCTGATCTGAATGTCAGGCTTTGGCTTTATACTACAAAATAAGTTGGTGATTTTTTGTTATGTGATAGTGTTTTTTGTCTTTTAGATGATACACCATGATATTTGACAACTCTTTGACATTTGCATATTCAAAGCATTTTCTTTGACTTGGATTTCTTATAAAGTTATCTTTCTTTAAGGATTTCATTTTTATTAAACCTTTATTTCTCTGTTACTTGTGTATATAATGCTGCATTTTATAATGCTGTTTCTCTAAATTTAATCCCTAAAACAGTAGTGTGGCTTGCTAATTGGCACTGTGTCTTTATTCTTTGCCTACCATGTTGTATGGCAAGTTTTGTATCTGTTCCTAAAACAGTGGCTCCTGGGAGATGAGTTCTCACCATAACCAGAAGAGTCTTCTGCAGTGAGGATCGGCATGCTTCGTTTTCCAGCATGGACCTTTTAGTACCTGGCACAGCACTTTATCCTTCTGGCAAGCTCCCTGAGTATTTATTATAAGTCTTCTGTGTCAGCAGCATTTTTCATTACTATGTTTTCAACATAGAACATTAAGCTCTCCTCATGCTAGATGTCTCTTTTGAAGGCTGTACTTGATTAGCCCCGGATGAAAACAATAGTGCATGATTCTTTACGTCCCTTATTCCATTTCTCATTCTTCAGACTTTGATGGGCCCAAATGGACACTGTTCTCTAATTGTTCTGGATCACTGTTGCCTGTTGAGGTAGCAGTCTCTGCTTATGTTCCTAGCGACTCTATGCTTCCCATTGGTAGGGTTACCTTCGCCATGTAAACCTAAAGCCTAATTATTTGGCCACAATATTAAAACAAAAGTAATCATTTATCTGTTGAATACTTATATAAAACTGTGTTTAAAGTGATCTACAACAAAATGCACTCTTTTCAAGGAACCCTAGGTTAGAAGCACTTCTGTAGAAAAGTAACTGCTGCGGTGTGAAGCCAGTGTCACATTACTGTTTTTAGGCATTTGCAGTTCATTCATCTCCATTGGAGCGAGGGGAAACACAGAAGACAGTTTTATGCAAATGAACCCTCATTTCAGTCTGCCCCTCACCTCCACATGTCTAAGGTATTGGATTTAGATACGTAATGTGTCATTTGCCACTGTCGATTGTTGTCTTTTGTTTCTTTGCATTTTTAAGTTCATGTGCAGCTGCTCTTTGCTTTTGGATATGTTTTTTAATTAAAAAAATCACACAAGAAATATAATCTGTGTAGTGATACCTTAATGAGCACATACTCAATAAACAACTGTAATGGTTGACTTGCACGCCTGGTTTTTTTCTCTGGATGGTATGCAGTTTCACTTAAGTGAACATGGGGAGAAGTCACGTTCCATCCTCACAGGACCAGAGAAGACACAATAACCCCTGAAGAGCCTCTGACATGGGATTAGCCAATCCCAATGCCCCAGAAAGAGGACATTTGAAAATACTACGTCTACTCTCTATTATCCAGCTTTTGTGCTTTGCATATATAATGTATATAAGACATGTTTGTAAATCAGTAGATAAGCTGTCTTTAAATATATTTATTGCTGAAATTATTCATTGGAATGACCTAGTATCATGCCTTGTTTTGTCACAGATCATAAGCAAAGAACCAATTCCCTGCTGTCTTCATTTGGCATGAGCCAGGATATGTACAGCTCAACTCAGTCTCACTAGCTGACTGGTCATTAGGCTCATTCACCTCTTACTCATTTGTTTATCGACTTGAGAGAGGGTTTTTTTTATTTTTCTAACTGTATAAATTAAGAGAGATGTCTGTGTTTCAGGCTGTACATTGGGAATGGGAGAGAAACTCAAGTCTATTTTGCCCACAGTATATTAAACTCCAGAAGCCAAACTTTTAAGGGCATCGAGTCTGCATCTGACATTTTAATAGCTGCTGTTTGGTTTCTGTCAATCACGTCATTGCACATTAAAATGCACCGACGGAATAAGAGATCTGTCATTCCTTCGTTAAGAAACAGTAATCCAGTACAAGATTTATAGGCTTACGTCTCAACTGTGTGTTCACAATAAACTCCCCCCCCCCCCACTTCGGTGCTGAAACCAGAGCAAACCTCCCTGCCAGTCAGTGTTTTCTACTCACATGTCCCCAATATAAGATTATCAAAGGTTTTCTAACTGAACTACATATAAAAATCCTTTTGCCAGCAAAAGTCTTAATTTAGGTTGGCAGTTTCCCGTTCTGAGTACTCTCAGACAAGATCTTGGTTATATCAGAAACACATAGGCACTGATGTATTATTAGCAGGCCTGGTGTTAATTAGGGAGAATTACCAGAAATAGTTTGCCTTGTGGAAATTTATTACAGAATCCCACTTGACTGATGGCAGAGTAGGAGTTGCTGAGAGAGAGCAGCTCCCACTCATAACCACTAATTAATAGGGTGCCAAAATTCCGCAGAGAAGGTTGCATCCCAAGTGTGGGAGCCTCACAGGGAAAATGGTTCCTGTGCAGTACTTAAAATTTAACAGAGGAAAGGAACCGGACACATGGCTACCTAACAGAATAGCGGGCTGCGGGGGCACTGGGCTGAATGAATGAAGAAAGGGCTTAACTCAGTAAGTGCCGAGCCCCAGCGTGGCCTGTGAGTATGAAAGGGTTATACGTTTTGTTTTGTTTCTGGACTAGATCTCACTATGTAACCCAGGCTGGCTTGAAGCTTGAAATCCTCCTTCTTCTTCCTCGGTCTCCTGAGTTCTGGGATGCCATGCTTACACCATAATGCCAAACTCCTGCATTATTATTATTTTTAATATAGCAAGTATCTGCTTCCTAAGCTTCATTTGATGAAGAAAATCTGGTGCTCACCGTGTTGTCTGTGGTGTGTCATTGGATTCTTACTCTTGAATCCATGATTTACAGGCTGTCTACTAGGTGGCGGGATCACAGGAGTGCTTAATAAGTAAGGTGTGGCTTCTACCCTTGAGTGTGGAGGAGGAGGACGAGGTACATCTAATGATTGGCACTAATGGCAGAGTGCTGGGGGAGCCCTCCTAAATTATAGCTTGCCAAGAAATCAATTTTTTTCCTGTCTGTAACTACATGTAATTGCACACAATAAAGCTTGGAGCCGTTGTTTAGTGTAGAAGAATAAAACATTTCCATGTCAGAAAACCGCTGATCACTGACCTCAGGGAGAAAAATAAAATGATTTAGAATTCACAGAGTCTAATTCTTCAATTTCTCAGTTATGGTAAATGCAGTTCCCAAGGAAAACAACTTCTGTGCCAGGCCCAGATGTGATTGACATAGTCTCTTAGGGCATTCATGTTTCAAAAGACAGTTTCTGTCTCTGGGGCCAAAGTGTTCTAATTGGATTCCAAGTTTTTCATTTTCATATTCTAAACTCATATTTTTCCCTAATTCAAATACAGCTTGTTTTTTTTTCTTCTCTCCTTCCTCCCCCCACCTTTTTGTCTTAGCTTGTCCCCACACACAGCTAGTGTTCTTATAGTTTGCTCAAAAGTCTCTTTGTTTTGAGTTTGAAATCAACTCTAATACCTTACAGTGCCCTTGTACTTCTGACACTATCGTATCACTAATAGACTACCTTTTCTCTAGGTCTGTGGGAAAGTGGATGGTGCTACAATGACATCATCGCTTATTAGTTTGGGCATAAATAAAAGTTTTCTTTTGTGAAACCCTATGTTGCCGTCATTCTGACTTGGGAAGCTTTGCCCCTGTTCGCTTGAGAGTGCCATCAATGTCCATCCTGAATGAGGTAGAGAGCCGAAAACATGGAGCTTCCCAAGCATGAACTTCACTGTGTTAAACTGATTCTGTTCCATCACTTGACACTTGTCATTCATTCTGCTCTGTTAAATTATTATGCTACTCTGTAAAGCTTTTCCTAGTACCATTTTAAACATTTTGAATTTAAAAAAAAATGAATTTAACCAGCAGGTTGAGGCACTTTGTTCTTGAGAAAGGATTCTAACCCTTGTGCATCTATCGTAGCCTGCTTATTCCTGATCTTGCAAACTTTGATGCCTTTGAACAAAGACAACATAGATTATAATAATATAAAATAAAGCCAGAGGTAAACTGTGTTTGCTTCTCTGTGTTACCTTAGTCTGGGCCCAATCAGAATGGGAATCACATAGTAATTTAATAGAAGTGAAGGAATTTGGATTAATCACTTATTAAACAGATACAAGATAGCAGCGTAATGGTGGAAATATACAGACAAGTCTAAAGGATAACAGAGGGCTAGAGAGAGAGTTCAGTAAGGACTTGGCACAAAAAGGAAGACCCAAGTTCAGTCCCTAGCACCATGTAGAAAGGGCAGTGCAGGTACCCAACTGTAACTCAACATGGAGGAAAAACATGAATTTCTGAGGCATGCTGGCCAGCCAGCCTGTCCTAATCAATGAGTTTCAGACCAGTGGGAGACCCTGTCTCAAATCATGCACCCAGGAATATAATAGACATTCACACAAATAAATAAATAAAATAGTAGGTAGCATAAGATGAAGGGCAGTTTGAGAAGGAGGCCCTTTCCCTATGGTGAGGGCTCACACCTTGTTGGAGACAGTGGTTTCAGACCACCAAATGACAGAAGTGTTCTCTGGGTTGCTGAAGCCAGAGCTCAACCTCAGTTCTAAGCACCAAGTTAGGTGGATGCATAAGGAGCTGGGGTGCTGCTTTGGGCACAGGCCTGGAAGAGAGAGTAGTGTGTCAACTACAGGTTGTGATGGAGCCCAAGTCAGGGATGTGACATCTTGAAAGGTCTGCACTCTGGACTCAAGACTGGCCAGTGCACCGTCAGATATCCCCATACACAGGCAGCACTATGACCACACAGAAAAGCAAAATGTAGCACCAACCGGAAGAGCTACTCCTGGCAGCTGCAGCATGCTTCTTAACATGACAAAGCTTAACACCATGACTGCAACAAAGGAGAACTGCTTTGAGTCCAGTCCAGTGTCAGAGCAAACTTGGAAAGGGAGATTTGGAACTGGAAGTCAATAAAGTTAGTAAGTGACACTGGATTGAAAAGAAAACAGAATTCTCCATTCCACTGACTTCTATAATACAGAACATTATTGATGAACTGCAAAGCCAAACAAGCTGAGCTGGAGCCATCGCCTAGCACACCAAAGGCCTGGGCTTAACATCACAGAAACACAGGTGAACAAGAAATCCTAGCCTGATGTGGGGGCGCAACCTGGAATCCTGGCACTCGGGAGACTGAGGGAGAAGAACTGCCGTTTTCAGGACAGCCTATACATAGTGTGGCATTATTCTAGGCCAACATGGGCTGCTGTGAGTAAGACCTTATTTCAGAAAAAATAAAGGGGGGAGGGTGAGATGGAGATGTGGCTCAATTAGTAGAATCTTGCCTAGAATTTCATGAAGCTCTAGATTCAAGCTCCAGCATAGTGGTACATGCCTATAATCCCAGCACTGGGGAGGTAGAATCAGGAGGCTCAAAGGCTGAAGGCGTCTTTTGTCATATAGAGAACCGAGACCAGCCTGGGTTACATGAGGAAAAATGAGGGGAGAGGAGGGCAGGGGAGGAGAGGGAAAATGCAACCAACAAAAGCTACCTTGTTCTTTATTGTCAGAAATCTTTTGATAATATACTTTCAATGTACAAAGTAATTGCCACATTGCTCTAATATGTTTTTCAGTCTTCCCTTCAAATGTCTAGTATAACTGGGGGGTTGTGATTAGTTAAGAAACTAGTTTGGATATGACCAAAGAAGTTTTTTACACACATTCATATTCTATCATAATATAATTCTTCTATATATAGAAAAGGTTGAAACATTAATTGTGACTTCAGTGTACTGGAGTTATTCTGTGTGAACCACAGTTCATATTACATATGCACATTAATCAGTTTCATAGTCCTGTCCCAGAAGGAAGGTCAACAGTTTCCCCCTCTACATTAAAGGATGAGAGGGTATATTAAGTCTTGTCTAGTCCAGGTTTGGATTTGTTGTAGATACATTGTAATTTGTGTGGTGTCTTATCTGTTACCCAAGGAAACACTGGTGGTTCAAAGCACTCACTACCTGTAATAAAGTTTACTCATTTTACCAATAAATTGTATCCTCATAGCAATATGATGGTGAACCAGTAGAATATGATTGAGATACAGTTTTTCTAAAGGCCAGTTTAAATTATTGTCCAAAACAATGATGCATGTATTTTAATCCATATTAGAAATTAGGGAATGAAATAACCCTGAGAAGTTATTTTCTAAAAATATACACCTACTACCTAGAAAATTTGAGAGTTAGAT